AGCTGAAGAAGATACCACTGTGGGGGTTCACTTTACTTGGGGTGCTCGTGGTGATGGTCAGGATTTAAGGCAGCATTAAGCAGAAGAATATGTATGCTTCACATTTTCTTTGCATTGAAGACTCTATCATTTTGCCAAAAGACCAACTCAGCCTACATCAGATCAAATCTTGTATCCTGAATTGAGGACCAGAGAAAGCATGTGGCTTGAATTGGCATGCCATGTTGTAGGATGAACACAAAGCTTTAATTCTGGAATCATACTTTTCCTGGTAGAACAATCATATGAGAAACTAAGGAACAGAGGTTTACTGTGGAAATGGCTGATTTCCATTTCCTAACTCACGTTCAATCTGGGGGCAAATGCTCCATGCTCATTTTCTGAAATGGCCTGTATGATTTGATCTGTTATTACTTGCTCCTCCTTTTCTTTTGGTTGATGTTGAACAGGTGATTTCACATAAGTGTACATATGATGAAGTTACAATGTACTTTTGGGGGAGTGAACTCGTAAAGCTCATTATTCTTACTTAGGAGACATAGTGGATAAAAACATAAGGAAGCTCCAGAAAGGTTTAAGTCAATTCACAGATGTCAGAGTTAGAACCAATTTTATTTTGCTTGTTTATTTTTCAGTGCTGAGGATCAACCACAGGGCCTCATGTAAGCTAGACAAGCACTCTACCAACTCCAGTCTTAAAACTAGTTCTTAAGAGACAAACACCTTTACAAAATACTCCTCAGTGGTGTTACTGCTAGAGAACACAAAGGAATAGCCCCTTAATTCCTACCTATCTCTACATGTCTGCAGGCACATTCATATTACCTGCCACTCCTTGATATCCACCCCCCAAATTATCTTTCTCCATTTTGGTCCCAATTTCTCCACACCATTACCATCACCCTATAGGTAATCACTTTTTTCCTCCTTTGGGTAATTTTTCTAAGTTGCTTTATGCAAATACAAGCAAACAGGAATACACTTTCTTTTCTCCTTTCTTACAGGAAACATAGCATGCTCTATTATATTCACCTTGCTCTTTTTTTTTTACAACAAAGCATCCTACAAGTCATTACATATTATTAAAAAAGAAAACTATCTTTTTTTCAGTATCACTACATCATATTCTGCTGTGTGGATACACCATAATTTATTTAACTAGTTCCCTTTGGGGTTGTCATTGAGGTCTTTTTTCCTTCCATTTTTTCTTAGTAATATAACAAAGGCTACACAAATAACATTGTTACATGAACAGCCGTGTATTTTCTGACGTGCACATATTTATTTGTATGATAACTTCCCATAAGAAGGACTGTTGTTTCAGAGAGTAATTGCATTATAATTTTATTAGACAGTGCCTAGCTCCCCTCTGTAGAGATGGTACTGCTTTGCACCACCAGCAACAATGCATGAGAGTGCTTGCTATTACTTCGATTCTTATCATCAAACACAGACATGTAACTTCTAGGGATAATGGCTTCTATGAGCTTACTCTGCAGCACTCAAGGTAGTCCTATTTCTATAGAAGTCAGTAAGTACAGGGCATGGAATTGATGAGGATGACATCTGCCTACTGTTCAGAAGCTTTACCCAGGATCACAACTTCAGAAGGATGTATGAGGAAGCCCCTTCGACATGCTTTTGTTGAAGCCCATCCTCATATTGGAATTTAAACCTTCTGTCTACTAGATATGTATCAGCACTGATAGGGGCCCTCCTGTGGCTAACACAGTAATGCTGGCTTCATTCAGAGATGGCACGACCTGCTTGGGACAGGGCAAGGTAGGTAAGTGGCATGGGCTTTGAAATGACACCTGCCTGGATTCAATCCACAAATACCCTGCCTCCCTAGGGTGTGACTCAGGGTATGTCATTCAGCAGAACTGAGACCTTTAAAATTGGGAACTAACTCCCAAGCCTTTTTGGACTATTGTAAGATTAAAAGGAATAATGTTTGAGGGAGCATTTAATACATAATAGCTTTCAAGACTTTTCCCTTTTGCCTTTCTGAAAAGAGCAAAGATCTGGAAAGAAAAACCCTAAAGGCTCCTTAACAGCTAAAATTTGTCACAATTTCCATATGTGAAAGCTATCTTACTATACTAATAGAAGCTCAAAAATGTATTTAGTATTTTTTATATGTAATTGTAACAGGTTTTGTTATTTGGCTTCTTAGCCTATATAGGAGTAGAAGTACAATGGCCAAAGTTGTTAACTGACTCAACTATAGCAAGCAGAGATTTAAAAAAATGGTTAAGAAAAAACCTACCACCACCGACAAAGGTGGTGAGCTTCTAGATAGTCAGAACTCTTAGCATAGGGTGCCTCAAGATCAAGTGGTCAAGAAAAGGTTAACTGGGGATAGGGGTGTGGCTCAGTGGTAGAGCGCATATTCCCAAGGTCCTGGGTTCAATCCCCAGAACCTAAATAAATAAAATGTTGACTATCTACCTTTGTGCAGAAAGCAGGTGGGGTGATGAATTTCCTTATATTACTCCCCACCCCATTTAGCTAATGTTTTGAAGTATCTATGTAATACATTAATGGGTTTATTAAGATTCATATCATAAAATATAAAATACATTTTTTTGGCATTTGAAAGGTTAAATCTCAGTTATTCAAAAAATTAATCAGTTATCCAATTTTTATTGAGTGTCCACTATGTGTTCAACACTGTGCTAAGTGCTAGGCTTACTTGGAACACTTAATTGCCCCAAAACTCTAGGGAAAAAAATGTGATTCATAGCAGACCAAATTTATGTTAACCTTTCCACGTGTCTTCATGATGGCTTTATTGTCAATGTAACTGATTTTAATTCTAGAACTTTCTGGGTTTCACAATATGTTCTCTTTCCATGGAAGATAAAATTATTAAACATGTAAATATAATGTTGAAATCACTTGGTGGTCTGTGAATCTTATATATCTACTCAAAACTTCAATTGTGATAAACACTTTTGACTCATAATCTCATGTGTCAGCTTTATATAGTGAGTGTAATTTACTTAGCTAATTTCACTAGATTATGTTCTTTCAGAGCACAGAGAAATAGGAATCATAAATATGCCATTACTGGCTGCTTTTGTTTCTCATTTCATAGCCTCACAGCTTAAAGAGAGGAAAACATATTTAAAAGCACAATTAGCTTCACCTAGTAGTATTTCAAAATGCTTTCTTTTATTAGAGATACCAAATCTACTAAGAAATTTAAGTAGATATATGTTGGCATTATGCAAGCATAATAATAATAACAAGAGCAATTAGTTTATTTAGTGCCTACTACCTATCAGGTATCATATTGAGAGCTATGAATGAATGGATTGCCACCCAGCAAAAAAAATTTTTTTTGGACCAGGTATTGATCAGGAGTACTTGTCCACTGAACCACATTCCAAGCCCTTACCCAGCAAATATTTAAAGAAAGTACTGTTGTTCCCATGATAAAAAGGAGAAAACCAAGGTTTCACGAGGTTATCTTGCTCACAGCATTCATTGTTATCATTTTAGTGGAACTGGAGTCCAAACTTGATAATTTGTACTCTACCACACTTATGCCATTTTTCTTCCAAATTCAGAAAAGAAATAGAATCCCATCTGTATGCAGAAATTCTCTTGACCTGTCAGTTCTTGGTTTTACAACCATAGAAATAAGGAAATTAAACCATAGCAGGAAATAAGGATACAGTTATGTGATGTGATTCTCAAAGTAGCTTTTGGAATCACTCCCCCCAACCCTCAAAACCAGGGGGTAAAAATTCTCTAAGCATTTTCTCAAAGTCTTTATAGATTTTATCTTGGCATATATACTCATGAAAAGTTGAGTCTAAAATGCCTTGACACTCTCAAAACTTAAGTAGATACGCTCATGTTAAATATCATGTACATCAAAGTAACTATTAAAGTTGTCAAAGGCAACTTTCCTTCTCCAAATCTCAATGTCATACAAATATGATATACTTGGTCCTCTTAACAGTCTAAAGAAAGTTATTAATACTATTAAATTTTACTGAAAGGAGAAATAGAATCAGAAAAACGTGTTAAAAAATCTAGGGAGATGGATAAGAAAATCCAGGCATTTTCTTTCTTTTTTATTTTTTAATTTAACTTCAAATGCTCATTTCACCTACTTAGTAACAACCACAAATGTGTAGCTTGCCTGTCTAGCTGAAAATATAGTTTCACTGGAAGATCATTGTAATTCAAATCCATTCAGTGCTGCTTCACTTATGTAATTTGTTAGCTAAGTTCAAGTAGTGTACCTGCACCTATCTTAATGATATAGCACATTAATAACATTTTCACTCATTTAAAGCCATGTTTACCAACATAGCCTTAGCACCAAAAAAAAAAAAAAAAAAAAAAAATCCAAATGACAATATTCACACATTCAAGTAGTCTGAACAAGTAATTGATACATACAGGTTAAGTTCTGGCTAGTTTTGAATTTTCCAAATTAAGGTCAGAGAATTTTCAAGCCACACACTTAAAAAAAAAAAAGTTGACAGAGAAATATATTTTGGTATTGCAGAAAATATACTCAAGGTCACAATATGCCCATTATGTCCTTACTCCAACATGCAAGACACAACCAGGCTGATTTCTACCTGGATTTTGCCTGGAGCTTTCTTAAGGGAATGGTGGAAACTTTATTACAAAAGATGGTGAAGTTGTCAGTGACAAGACAATCAGGGGGTCAACAGAGGTAAAAGGGGAGGAGAGATGTCTAAATAGAAGTGAGAATGAGTAAGTTTTTGTGGGAGTCAGTTAAACTGAGTTATGTACCTTTTAGAGCCCCTCAAAATAAGAAAGGAGTAAGTGTGCAATGTAAAAGAAAAAGGAAAACAGCCAGAGAGGTGAGACACAGCCATTTTGGTGTGGGGGGTGTCTAACTACACAATGAGGTCATCCTATCTCCCGGAAGTGACACGTAATCACCTGCTTTGCACTGGCTCCGCCCCTTCCCTCAGAGGCCCCGCCCCTTCGCCAGCAGCCGGGAGGGTGTTAGGGGGCGTTTCTCCAGGAGGAAAGCTGTGAGCTGCGACGCTGAGGAAGGGGACCCCAAAACGTCTGGCACTGCTCCCTCCAGGGATCACTTTGGACCGCCTCACTCGGCCCAGCGGGATTCTGAAACGCCGAGGGGTCAACCTGATGGGTTTCGGGGTCAACGGAAGAGGGGAAGGGGAGCCCTGGCGGGGAGAACCCCCCGGCCCCCCGCCCAGCAGCTGAGGCACTGAAGGGCGGCCATCTTGGCCGGGAGGGTAGGGCCGGGGAGCTGCGGGCGCCGTGCGATTGGGGGGCTCGCCCGGAAGTGACGCCAACCACCCGGAAGCGGAGGGGGTTCCCTGGCCCACTCCCCCCTCGTTCGTTTGCTCCCCCGCTTCCTCCCCGCCCCCCTTCCTCTCCATTCGTTTCCCCCCCTCCCCGGTCCCTGCCTTCTCCCCCCACCCGTCCCTCCCCCCCCAACCTCCGGAGCTGGGAAGAGAGTCAAGATGGCGGCGAAATCCGATGGCGGTGGCGTGGGGGTGGGCTTCGCCCAGCTGCACAACCTGGACGAGGCGGTGGGCAGCGGCGGCGAGGAGGACGGGGAGCCCGGGGGAGGCGGCTGCGGCGGCGGCGGCGACGGCAGCGAGCCCGGCGAGAGCAGCTCGCTGCACATCTGCCACTGCTGCAACACCTCCTCGTGCTACTGGGGCTGCCGCTCCGCCTGCCTGCGCTCCCTCCTGGGCAAGAAGCCGCGCCGCAGCGCCGCCGCCGCCGACGGGGGGGACCAGCCGCTGCAGCCACCCGCGGCCGCCGGCGCCGACCGCCACCCCCCGACGCCCTCGGCCGCGCGTCCGCAGCCGCCGCAGGTGGAGCGGCCGTGGCTCGACTGCCTGTGGATCGTGCTGGCGCTGCTGGTCTTCTTCGGGGACGTGGGCACCGACCTGTGGCTGGCCCTCGACTACTACCGCAAGGGGGACTACGGTTACTTTGGGCTGACCCTCTTCTTCGTGCTGGTGCCGTCGCTGCTGGTGCAGAGCCTGAGCTTCCGCTGGTTCGTGCAGGACTACACGGGCGGCGGGCTGGGCGCCGTGGAGGGGCTCAGCAGCCGGGGCCCCCCCATGATGGGGGCCGGCTACGGCCACGGCGCGGCCCGCGGCGGCCCGGGCGCAGGGGGCTCGGCCACGCCGGGGGCGCAGCGCCTGTGCCGCCTCTCCGTGTGGATCTGGCAGTCGGTCATCCACCTGCTGCAGATGGGGCAGGTGTGGAGGTAAGCTCTGCGGGCGTGGGGGCGGGGGCCGGCGGCGGGCACTCGGACGGGCCGGGGCGGGAGGATGGGTGGCCGCGCACTCCCCGGGCGCCTCGGGACCGTGGTTCGATCAGGATCCTGGCCACGCCTTTTGGCCCAGGGATGCCCAGGTCCCTCTGTCTGCCTGTCTTCATCCCTGGTTCGCACTTGGCGGAGACCCTGCCTCAGCCCTCCCTCCCCTCCTCCTCTGCAGACCTCTGTCTCCTGGTTGTCCCTTTGCACTATATACCAAGGTAATCAGCCACTGGCGCTCTCTGTCTGCACCCCAACTCGCGTCCTGGTGGTGGGGTCGGGGGGTACCTGGTTTTCCCCAGCCGATTTGCACTCGGTTTGCCCCTTGATGAGACATGTCTCCTCTTACCCCGTTTTCTCTCTGCAGTGGCCAGTGTGGGGCCCTGTAGAAAACCCTTGCTGCTTTTCCTTTTAGAACTCCATTCCACGCTCTCTTCTCCCGCAGTCCCAGCCCCTGTGAATGACTCCAAACCGCTGCCCTCCTTGAAGGAAAAATGACTTTTTTTTTTCTGGTTTAGACGTGCCCTTTTCTTAGTGACAGGTAAAAATTGGATGTGTGTGATGGCAGCAAGCATTTGCTATTAATTCTCACCTCTAGAAATTCAGCTACCCTGGACACATCTTCTCTTTTGGGTGGCCAAGCCAGTGTGTAAGTGATTACTGTTTACACAAGACTCAAGCTCGGCTTTGCGGCCCTTGACTCTTAATCTGAATTCTCCATGTGCCAGGTGAATCCCTCAAAACCCACTTGCAGGTGCTCTTTCTCCCTGGAGCCTTATCTGATTACCTTAGTGGCTACACCGAGGAAAGAATCCCACTGAAACCTTAGTCTGTGCCCTCCAACTTCACATGAGCTTGTGTGTACATTCAGGAAACGAATTTTAGTTGAGAGTGTTTGCAAGAGGAAAAAAATCTTACAGAAGACAAATTACATAGGGAAAGGCCCTTCGTGTATGTGCTTCTATGAGAAGGCCTAGACTGCCTCAGCTCCTATATGCCCAGTAGATTGTAGGCCTCAGCATTTCAGGTACCTGAGGTATACTCAGCTTAACACTGAGAAGGTTCATTGTTTTTTGGCTGGTTTGTTCAGATATAGTTCTGAATCTTAAATAAAAATGTTTCAGAAAGCATGGGATTGAATTAAGTCAAAACATGAGAATGAATGCAAGAACTTTGTCTTACACATTTTATATGCAAATTCAGGATTGGGGAAATGAGGGTGGTTCTTGATATTCTTGGTCTTCCCACAGTTGTTTACTCATGTTCTTGGTTGAACCAAGATCCATTTTTCTAACTGCATTTGTCTGCAGATAATTTGTTTCCTGTGAAGTTTATAAGAATAGGGGAATAAAATAGAAAAACATGATGATTAACTTTTAGCTGCTGTGAGCATAGCTTGAAGTTAAATGAAAATTCGCAATGTTTTGAATTTGACATTTAACCCCCCCCAACTTTATTCTGAATCAAAGATTGTGTATGCTATTGATACCTTTTTTCAGTTTCTTGGAGGCTGGTAAGATTCAAACAGTGAATGGGGAGAGAGACAAAAAGTATAGGAAAGGGAGAGACTTTCAAGTACTAGTTGAGTTGAACAACATATTAATAACTAGGCTTCTACTCAGGTCACCTGTCTCCATGGCTTAGACTTCTTATGAATATGAATGGACAATATGAATGTTGATGTTAGGTTAAAATTCCTGAGAGAATAATTTCTAATGTAACCCATTGCGTTTATTAGCAGTAAGCTTTTGGAACATAATGAAGTGGTAGTTCCCCTCCCCTATTCAGCTGAATCTTAATTGTGTTTTGGCAAAATAGAAGTCTAGATTTTTGGGACAAACAGAAAAGTATGTTTTAGGTGTAAATTTAGCTTTTGAATTTGTTTAAATGGCGTGGTTTATTTTCTTATTTTTCTGATCTTCATGTAACTTTGAAGGTCTGCAATGAAATTTGAGTGTGTGTGTGGTGCCTGTGATTTTAGTATGTGTAATTTTTTAAAGATTCAAGTATAGCTCTAAATATCCATAGGGTTAAGGTGTTGAAGGATATGCTAGTTCAGCCATGCTGTTTCATCCAGCATAGCTGTATTTCAAAAGAATTTTATTTTTTCAGTAGGCTGATTTTGTTGGAAATGCTCCAGGAGCAAGGTCTGCTCCTTAATACCTGCTAGGCATGTTGCTTGCACCGAAATCATTCATAGGTAAGAGGTTGGGAGAAAGGTTTTTATTCTTTTCTTGTTTTCATCTCTTGGCAAACAGTTGCTTGTCTTTGTGTGTAAACACACATCACCTCAGTTTTTACAGTAGATCTTCTGGGGTTGTAGGTTCCTTAATCATATTTGTGATTTAAATTGCTATTTCATAAGGTCACATGACATAAAGGTAAAAGTCCAGGAATTCTATCATTTGATTTGGGCTACATTGCTAAGAAAATATGTCAGTGAAGTTGTACATTGTCAAAACTGAGTCTATTAAACCATGAATAAACTGTTTCTTCATATAATTTTTCTTTCCCTTTCTAAGCTCTAAAATTATTTGAGTCTTGTTTGGACAGAGCACATTGCCTATTTAAGAACATTTAGTCACTCCTGGTATTGAAGAATACACTTCTTTGCGTGTTGTCTTATAACGATGGTATATACTTGACATTTCTTTTGCCAAGTAATTTTACAGAATGTAAGAAAGTATTTTGATGGGGTGAGAATTGGAGCATGGAAGAATAATTGTGTGTAATGATTTGGTATCATGAGCCTGTTTCTGTGAGCACTGGTGTGTGGACAAGGTCTATATAATGCATGCTTTACTAGCACTAGTTACTAAACATGTAACTTACTGTGTGGCTTTGTGTGCTCTACTTTTCAGGTGATTTTCCTAGCGATAATGGGCATGTGAGTCACTCTGAACAGAAATCTGAGTCACTCCAGGCTGTACTTCAGTACAGTGTGTTGTCATTATTAGAAAGTGAAATCGTATTCATGGAGGGTTTGAGGCTGGGAACAGTGATTGAGTTTGCATCTTGCTTGTCATATGTAAGTTACTCTTGGCTGTTGCTGTTGTCCTTTCTGTGCCTTTGTGTCACCTTTGTGCTTAATGTAGTGGTTGTTCTCTCTGTCAGGGAGCAACAGTTCTTCACCAAATCATTAATCTTACTTAGAGTTGTGTGCTTGCATTCTTCTCCTTGATAGAGTAGAATAAAATGTACTTAATTCTTTATAGTGGTGCCTATTTTTAAAGTGAGGGTCAGCTGTTCTTTATCTTGGGAGATGGGGTGGGCTATAGGGTGGCTTTTAAGGAAGAAAAAAGAAAAAGGCATTTTACATTTTATTACGGCACCTGAACACTCTTAAATCTTTAAAACAAAACACTCTAAAACAGAGTGTTTTTCTGTGTTGAAACTAGGTATAATCAGAACACAGCTCTATAGTCAGTGCTGGATGTGACTGGGCTGCTGCAGATTTTTTTTTTTTCCTTAATTATTCTGTCCCTATCTCATCCCTGTAAGTAGGGAGCATCTAGTATATTTTGGGTCTTTGTTCATGTTGGATATTTTAGAATAGTGGTTCTCATTTCTGGCTGAGACTAGAACCTACTGCAGCTTTTAAAGAAATAGAAGTGCCTGGGCACTGGACCTTCCAGAGAAGATTCCCACCACAAAATGCAAACATCATAGCTTCCAAAATTCCACAGCTGATCAGTCGGGCAGCCAGGCTTGAGAAGCATATTGAATTGGGTTTCAAGCTTATTCCATTTGGGGATGGGTATTGGATTTGTGTTCTTAATAAAATATGGTGGAACAACTGGGAAAGGAGTGACTTTTTACTCTGGAGTTTGGTCCCCAGACAGTGCCATAGCTAAATGCCTTTACCTTGGAAACTGAGTGTCTGGAAGTTTCTTGGGGCTATCTTAAGGGTTTGCACTTAGGTATTTCAGAGTTTCTGTTTAAGTCCAAATATGAATCTCATCCTAAAAAGATTCCTAAATTTGAAGTGGTCTGCAAACAAAATGTATGCCATTTCTTTGCCTTTTGTGTAATACAAATAATACTTTTATGATGCTATTGCATGTAAAAGGTATAATAATTCTGTTGAATTTTGAAATGATTCCTTTAATAGGTTTGAGGAAAACATAACTGGGATTACAAGCAGTGTTGGGATAAGTGATTAGTAATGTTCTTGTAGTTCTTAAGATTTTGTGATTAAAGAATGGAAATGCTACATTACAGAAAAGGACATTTCATTTGTCTGGAGCCAGGGTACCAGTCATAGTTACATTAGAAGGTTTTTTTTGTGGGTGGGAGGTGGGTGTAGGAAGCTTTATATATCTGCTTATTACTGGGGAGGAATCTCAGTATTGTAAAATAGTATTTTTAAAATTTTATCTATAAACTTAATGGGATGTAGGGTTAAGAAGATATTGAGCTTTTTTTTGTGGTGCTGGGGAGTGAACCCAGGGCCTTGTACATGCTAGGCATGTGCTCTACTTCTAATCTACACTTCTGCCCCCTCAGGGAGATTTGTTTGATAAACTTGAGAAAATTGATCTGAGAACTGTAAATAAACAAGTAGTCCAAAAACAAAAACAAAAAAAGAGGAAATTGTCTTACCCTATCAGAAAGTAGATTTGTTGTATCAACAATTAGACCAATGTGCTGCTGGCAGGGAAATTAAATAGGTAGTGACAGAGAATAAAGAGTCCAGGAATAAATTGATAGCATTTGTGAGAATTCAGTACATAGTAAAGGTGACATTTGCAGTCAGTGTAGGGAAAAAGAATTATTTATCAATGTGGGCAAGAGAGTGCTTGCCCAGCATATGTGAGTTCCTGGGTTCCATCCCCAGCACTGCAAAAAAACAAATAAATATTTGAAAATAATTAAAGATGAAATATAAAATGTTAAGCTGTAAAAACACTAGAAGAAAATTTAGGATGATACTTAATCTTTTCATGAAT